GACAAACTATGGCCCCCAGGATAAATCTGGCCATTGTTCAGCTCTTTTGTAAATAAAGTTTTATTGAAACACAGTCATGTTTATTCATTTATGTTTGTCGTTGACTGCTTTTGCTCTACAATGGCAGAGTGTATGACTTAAAAGCCCTTAACTATTTACCATTTGGGCAAAGACAAGAACATTTTCTAACCTTTCCATTAGACCATTCAAACTAGATTTCATTTTAACGTTAAGACATCAAGTTATTAATCAATGTGAACTTACAGTACTCAATGCAACCAGAATCCTACTAAATGCCATCTGCACAGAACTCCATAAGGCTCCTGTTAGAGTCTTCTCTCAAACAAATGCTTGGCTGCATTGCACCTTGGACGTTGTATTTGCAGTTTGCCATCCTTTTTAACCAATTAACAACTTGCCTTCTTTACATTATCCCTCTCTGCTGCCCCCAACATAGTGTATTCCTATTGCCATATTTGTGTGCTATGATATTTAGAAATTGCTTCTTCAGGTTTGTAAGACTCCACAGAAATCATCACTGATTCCTCAGGAAGGATGTTTTGGAATGGTTCACGTTCCTCACCATTTACAACTTACGTCTAGAATTGCATATAATCCTGAAAATGTATCATTCACCAGATACTCTGAGAAAATGAGTTAAAATAATGTTACATATTTATTCAAATTATGTAGACCCAGAGAAGAAACAGTCATATGGAGGTCTAGTTGGTAAAACAAAAAATTCTCTTAGAAAGAATAGATAATATTTAAATTCTAAAATAAGCTGGAGCTGGGCGCTATGGCTCACGCTTGTAATCCCAGCATTTTGGGAGCCAGGGTGGGAGGATTGCTTGAGCTCAGGAGTTCAAGACCACCCTGGGAAATACAGTAAAATCTCATCACTACAAAATATTAAAAAATTAGCCAGGCATGGTGGTGCACGCCTGTAGTCCCAGCTACTTGGGGTATTCGGGTAGGAGGATCACTTGAGCCCAGGAGGTCGAGGCTGCAGTGAACTGTGATTGTGCTGCTGCACTCCAGTCTGGGTGACAGAGCAAGACCCTTTCTCAAAGAAATGAATGAATGAATGAATGAATGAATAAAGTAATCTGGAAAATGCAACTAATAGAAATAATAGTTTACATTTTAGTCTCAAAAGAAATAGGTATCTTATGGAAGTGATAGAAAGATTTGGAAAGGCTGGAAAATATCTTTTCTTAGTTAATATTTGAATGTTTATAATTTTCTGTCAATTTGTAAGAATATGTGATGACATTTATTCTGACGCTTATTTTACTAGGTATAGATCTTTCTCTGTAATTGTGAGAAATATACTGTTAAATAGGAAACAGAGTTGATGTTATAAATAATGTTTTCTTGCAGAAATTATGAACAAATAAATATTCTCCTTCTGCTTTTTCCTGTCTAGAACAGTGTCTGGAATACAGTAGATGCTCAATAAATTATTGAATAAATTAATAAATAAAATTAAGTTGAAGTCACATTCTATATTAATGGTCTTGAAAAATACTAATTTTTTTCACTGGGATTATGATTCCTGAATAAGTTTGTGACTATATTTTTGGCTTTCGCTTATTACAGAATCACTTAAAATAAGGTTGCTGCCTGGGGAAAGATTTGGGCAACATGCAAGGAGGATTGCCCAACCTGATTCTAATTCTTGTGTATGGTTCACTAGTAAGCAGTCATGGAAGGACTCAACTTCCATATTTATTTTGAATACTTGTTTCAAGTATTCAAATAATATAAGTTGGCTTATTAAAATTAATATGCCAATAAGGATAGACAAATAGATTCATGTAACAGGATAGATAGTCCAGAAGCATATGGTCAATTTACATACATGATCAATTCATTTTTCATGAAGATGTCAACACAATTCAATGGAGAGAGGAAAATCTTTTTAACAAATGAGAGTGGAACAACAGGATGCACACAGGGAGAAAATATCAACTCCTAACTTTCACTGCACACAAAAATTAACTCAAGATGGATCATGGAACTTAATATAAAAGTGAAAATGATAAAACTTTAAGAAGATAGTATCTATGATCCTAATATTTGCAATGATTTGTTAGACAAAACACAAAAAGAACTAAGTATAAAAGAAAAATATAATAAATTATACTTTCTCTTAATTATAAACTTCTGCACATTAAAAAAAATTAAGGAAGTTAAAAGGCAAGACATAGATTGGGAAGAAATGCTTGCAAGACATATATTTAAAAATTGGATTATCTAAAAATTTAACTCGATAAAGTTAAACCTATGCCTAGCCAATGATATTGACATTTTAAATAATTACCTAAGAAAAATGAAAGTATATGTCCACAAAAAGTCATTTACAAATGTTTACAGTAGCTTTACTCATAGTAGTGAAAAACTGGGAATAACATAAACATACATCAGTAGATAAATGAACACAAAATTATAGCATATTCATACAGTAGAATGTTGTTTCACAATACAAATGAACAAACTACTAATAGACAGTACATGGATCCCTTTGAATAATGTGCTGCTAAAAAAGTCAAATGCAAAAGAAGTATAGGTACTGAATTATTCCATTTATATGAAACCCTAGAATAAGCAAAGCTAATCTGTAGTGACAGAAAGTATATCAGTGATTGTTTGGTGGGTAGGTGCATGAATGGAAAATTGACTACAAAGGTTATGGACACTTTCTTTTATTTATATCTTTGTTGGTGACATGGATACAATCATTTGTCAAAACTCATCAAATTGTGTACTTAAAATGGGTGCATTTTATTGTATGTGAGTTATACATTAATGAAAAAGACATTAAAAAGAAAAAAATGTTAAATGGGTAAAAGGTATGAATAGATAATTTTTAAAAAGATACAAATCTCCAAGAAGCTCATGAAGAGTACTCCATTAGTCATCAGGAATATGCAAATTGTGACCACTGTGAGATGCTATTCCATATTTATCGCAAACATCTACCCTATCACTCATTGGTTTCACTCCTGGGTCCAAATCCAAAATAAATAAGGACATATATCTACTAAGACTTGTGCAGGCTTCCTTTTCCCCTCACATATAAGTGAGATCACACAGTGTTTGTCTTTCGTATCTGGCTTATTTCACTTAGTATAATGTCCTCAAGATTCATCCATGTTGTTGAAAATAGCAGAATTTTCTTCTTTTTTATGGTTCAATAATATTGTATTGTATGTTTATACCACATTTTCTTTATCCATTTATCTGTTGATAGATAATTTGTTCCTATGTATTGACCGTTGTAAATAATGCTGCAGTTAACAAGGGAGTGTAGATATCTCTTTTATATACTAATTTCATTTTCTTTGGATATATACCCAGCAGTGGGATTGCTAGATCAGATGGTAGTTCTCCTTTTAACTTTTTGAGGAACTTCCATATTGTTTTCCATAATGGCTATATTAAATTACAATCCCACAGACAGTGTATAAGGGTTCCCTTTTCTCCACATTCTCACCAACACTTGTTATCTTTTATCTTTTTAACAGTCATTCTCACAAATATATGGTAATATCTCCTTGTGATTTTTATTTGCATTTCCCTGTTGATTAGTGATGGTGAGCATCTTCCTATACCTACTTGCTGAGTGCAATAATGGTTACCATGAGTGGAGGATGAGGTGAAGGGAAGATAGGAAAAGGGTACAAACCTTCAGCTATAGGTGAGTAAATGCTAGAAACCTAATGTACAGCATTGTGACTATAATTAAGAATTATTATAATTAATAATTGAAATGTGTTAAGATAGTAGATCCGAAGCATTCTCACCACACCCAAAAAAGGTAACTATGTGACATGATGAATACTTTAATTAGCTTGATTGTGGTAATCATTTCACAATGTCTACAGATATCAACACATTTCACGATAAACCCCAAATATGTGTGATTTTTATTCGTCAATCATACCTCAATAAGGCAGGAAAAAAATTAGACATAAAAAATAAAATTAGGAGAAAAATACTTTGTGCAAGAATGTTTATAGCTGCTTTAGCTATAAGAGGCCCAAACTAGAAAAAAAATCAATATAATAAACAAATGTAGAATACGCATATAATGCAATTATACTTACCTTTAAAAAGAATTGTACTACTGACTTTAAAAGTCACATTGAAATGTTTGAAAAAACATTCTGCCAAGCCAGATACATCAGTCCAACAGTATAATATATATGGTATCATTCTATTCACATAAAGTTCATGAATGGCCAAGTATTCTTTGGGGATAGAAATCAAAACAGTGGCCACCTATGGAGGGAAGACTGGCTGGAAAGGATGTGAGGAAACATTCTGGGGTGAAAGAAATGTCCCTTGCCCTGACTGAGGTGACCATGACACGGTTGTATGTACCTGTTAAACACATTGCTTTTAGAAACTTGAATTTAAGAACTCCAGAGTGGTTACAATTTACCCCACATTGATTTTATCTCAAATAATTAAAAAAAAAAAAGCCACGACAATTGAGTAATTATAGCCTTTAACACCCCTTTTCTGTCACGGATAATCTGGCTAATAAGCATATAGTTCTGAATTAATGTTAAAACCCTACTTCATCTACTTTTCTTTGAAGAAAGTTATTTTAAAAATCATTCTTTTAAATACAATTTTATTATCTTTTAGTATTAGAACATTTAATCCATAGTTCATTTATCATTGCCAGCATCCAAAGAAGTAAAATGACATTTATTGTTTTGTTTAGTAATACTTGAGATTTTTCACTTAAGAACCAATTATTATTATTATCATTTGGATTTATTTTCTATAGCAAGGAAATATTTACTGAATACTGGTGAGAAGCCAATGGAAGAGACCAAGAATGTCTAAGAGAAGCAGTTGTTATTAGTTGAAAGGTTTGAGATTTAAGACCTAACAGACAACAGAGAATGCACACAGAGAATGCAACAGAGAATGCAACCGAGAATGCACCAGACAACAGAGAATGCTCTCCGTGAGAGCCTCACCTTGTGACGTTTGTTCTTTACCTTTTTAGTTTGGTTTTTAGTGTGGCATGCTGAGCACCTCTGAGTTTTCAGGGAAGGAGCTGATGGAAACAGGAACAGAATAGCTGGGACCTCCAAGATTCACATTCCTTGCAGGAGTTGGTGTGAGTTTTTGAGGCTGCTGAGTAACAGGAACCGCAGCCTTTGTGGCCTGGATGTATCCTGGCAACCTGTCAACAAAAGGGACGGGACTGAGTTCTCTAGTAACTGATGGGAAACAGAGAGCAAAGTAGGTATGGATTTCAGCTTTCTTTTAAATTGACTCCAGGAACTTTGCCGACGGACTGAGCAACCAACAGGGACAGATAAATTTAAGTCACAGGCTCTTCTTGCTGTAGAAACACAACATTTTATTTTAAGGAAGAAAAGAAAATAATGTTTACTGATTATCTTATTGATCTTTTCTAGGGACTTTAAAAATACTGTGATGGTTAATATTGACTGTCAACTTGATTGGATTGAAAGATGCAAAGTATTGTTCTGGGTGTGTCTGTGAGGGTGCTGCCAAAGGAGAATAACATCTGAGTCAGTGGACTGGGAAAGGCAGACCCACCCTCAATCTGGGTGGGCACCATCTAATCAGCTGCCAGTGCGGCCAGAATAAAGCAGGCAAAAGGTGGAAGGACTTGACTTGCTGAGTCTTCTGGTCTTCAGCTTTCTCCTGTGCTGGATGCTTCCTGCCCTGGAACTTTGGACTCCAGGTCTTCAGCTTTTGGACTCTTGGACTTACACCAGGCGTTTGCCAGGGGCTCTCGGGACTTTGGCCACAGACTGAAGGTTGCACTGTTGGCTTCCCTACTTTTGAGGTTTCTCTACTTCTCAGCTTGCAGATGATCTATTGTGGAACTTCATCTTGTGATTGTGTGAGTCAATACATCTTAATAAACTCCCTGTCATATATACATCTATTCTATTAGTTCTGTCCCTCTAGAGAACCCTGACTAATACTAATACCATCTATATAGAAGAGCTTGGGCTGGGCGCAGTGGCTCACACCTGCAATCCCAACACTTTGGGAGGCTGAGGCGGGTGGATCACTTGAGGTCAGGAGTTCAATACCAGCCTGGTCAACATGGTGAAACCCAGTCTGTACTAATAATACAAAAATTAGCCAGGCGTGGTGGCACACACCTGTAATCCCAGCTATTTGGGAGACTGAGGCAGGAGATTCGTTTGAATCCTAGAGGTGGAGGTTGCTGTGAGCTGAGATTACGTCATTGCACTCCAGACCGGGCGACAAGAGCGAAACTCTGTCAAAAAAAAAAAAAAAAAAAAAAGGAAGGAAAGAAAAAAGAAAAAGATGATGAAGATCTTGTTCTCCTCTAAAGATGGATAGTCTCCGTGACTCTCAAAGCGTGTCCTATGCTTTGATCTAAAATGCAAGCAACTACAAGATGCAGAAGCTATGCTTTCTATTTTTCTAACATGTCCTAAGACATAGAAAATATTTTAAAAACTAAGGCCAGTATTTAAAAATACATCTGAAGTAGTGTTTACAAGATTCATATTTTAAAATATTCTGAGATATTAAGATAATTGTAGTACAATTCCACAATGAAATACTCTGCAAGCATTAAAGCTTATGAGGCAATAGTTTATTGACCCGGGAAAATGTTTACAATGTATTGCTAAATGAAAAAGAGAAGCTAAAAAACAGAATAAATTGTATAATCTCATCAAATTATTTGTGTGTGCTCATGTGCACACAAACACACAATTAACTCAAAGAATATACACCCCAGTGTTAACAGTGGTTACCTGTGAGTGGTGAGATTAAAGAACATTTCACTGAATGCTCCTTACTGGTTAGCAAAAAAAAAAAAAAAAAAAAGAACAAAAACTTGACCTCTAATATTCCCCAACCTTGCCTCGTGTCCCCAGATAATGTAATTGGGATGTGGAGGTAATTCACAGGACTCTTAATTCTACTGAAGTGACTCTTCAGTCTACACAGTCTAGAGATCCCAAGGGACAGTAGCATTTCACATTCTAACTTGCAGTACTGCTCTAACTATTCTAGATACCTAATTTATGATATAATATAAAATATTTCTAATTTAGATGCTTCTGAAATCATAAGATACCATATACAAATAATAATACATGCATACAATGACATAGAGCTGACATAATATCAGTGAGTAAATGTTGAGATGGGGCAAGAAAACCGTTTTACATGTTGCCTTTTACTGACCTGTAGGCCCCTAGCTAACACACTTTTCACCTTACAAAAACTGCATGTTTTATCGGCCCTATTGTGAACTAAATGTGATCTTTCTCAAAAGAAAGTGCCCAACAAATAAACATTATTTCAAATGCGCACCCAATATTCAGTCCAGTGGCTGGCTATTTGGGCCAGATGGCAGAAGAAGAGACAGGAAGTGTTGGCCTATGAGAGGACAACCTCAGGAAAACATCACGAGAGTGGATATTTCTGAGCTAAAGCAGGGCAGAGTCTCTATCCTGGCTGGAGCAACTCTTAGGAGGCCCAAGAATAACAGAGCTTGCAGGCTTTGTTAGCTGTAGCTAATGGTGCACTCACGACCCGCTCTTCCCTGGTGCGGTGGCCGAGTTGCCAGCTGCTTTTCTGTATTCATCGAAGCTGCTTCTAAAACTGGCTGGAGTGGAGCCTTTGTTTCTCAAATTCTGGACCCATTTTTAATTCACGGGTTTGTAGTTTCAGTCAGAATTGAACTTCTTGGTGTTCAAATGTATTTCATCTTGGCAAAACAGGCCTTCCTAGGTGCTCTGTCTCTCTCTCCTTCTCCCTGTCTCTGTGTCTCTCTGGTCTTTTCGAGCGACAAAAACTTTTAAGCTGCTCGTATTTTTTTTAAAGCATGCGCAGAGGCATCTTGGACATCAAATAGCTCTTACAACACACAACCTTTTGATGATTTAAGTGTAAATGAAGCAGAAACATATGGATTCTATTTTCCATAAATCACACACGGTCCTAAAAAATCAAGGAGGGTATGTATTTTGCACGATGTATTCTGTTTAGTTGAACCCAAAACATCTGAAGAATACTTGGAGATTGATGAATCCAAAATATTTACCCATCCCTATTTATAACATTGTGGGGGAGCCCTTGATTTATGGTGACAACTAAACTGCTTACATCTGTTGAGTGGGCAACCAGCAACCAGTGTGAGCTTCAAAGATAACCGTGTTCCTTCTTCTGTTCTGGCTCCAGGCATTCAAGTCAGCCTTAGATCAAAGACACTGAAGCCTTTACTTGAGCTGGTCTGGTTTGCTCTTGCTTGAGCTTTTCTCACCTAAAACAATTGCCAGTTATTTCAAGTTATGTGATATCCAATCATGCTTGTGTCACTGTGGGATGATGCCAACCTCCAGCAATAATCCAGATCTGACCCCTTGTGGCAGCAGCCCCACCAAAAGGAATTCTGGATTATTTTCCCTTCATAAAACCACAGCTGTTGTGCCTGCACAAGCCCCTGACTTTTTCATTAAAGGAATAAATCTCATTTTCATGGAGCAGGAGAAATGCTTCTCCTTGCTGGTATCTCTGCCCATCCTCAAGACTGTTCATTGATGCAAAGTCCAAATCTTACTTTGCAAGCTACCAATAATCCTTTGGAGTTTATTTAAACTTGGCAGAGACTACATGCTGTGAGAAAAAAAAAATTGCAATGGCAGCAGCAGGGATCCAAACAGGATGTTCGTGAAGTCTGGCAAAATAGGTCCACTGAGTGCCTTGTTCTCGTCTACCCAATTATTGTTTACTTCATTCTTATCACCTAACTCAGAAGCAGCAGGTTCCAGCCACCTGACATCTGTTATCTCAAATCCTTTAACCATCCTACAAGGTAGGCATTAGTATCCTTGTTTGACAGATTAGAAAACTGAGGCTCAAGAGCATTAAGCAACTTGCCCCATTGGCAAGGCTATTCCAAAGCAAATCTAGGATGGACATGTGTGTCTTTCTGGTGCCCAGATGGCTTCCCTTTGCTGCCTTCTGCTAGATCTTGCTGCCATATTCCCATGCCCAGCTCATAGAAATAATATCTTCTATGAGTTGCCCAGACTAGTAAACATTTAAAACCTAGACCCTCATGTCCCTGAAACAGGATGCTTGAAGAAACACTGGAGAAACATTATATAAAACACTGAAGAAACATTCCCTGTCCCTAGGAAGGGAGATCAAAAGACAGAAATCCTTCTATCTGTCCTGGCAATGTTTTTATGATGAGTCCGACCTCAAAAGAGAGAGTCATTTTTCAAATATGCCTTTTGTCACAAGAACAGCCTTTGTGTAAATTGAGTTTTATATACTGTACTAGACTGAACTTTAAAATGTCTAAATTTAAAATAGTGCAAAAAGTGTCTTGTGGTAGATTCGAAGGAAAGGAGGAGAGGTGCATTTTAAATACTTTAAAACTTTAAAAGTTTATTGTATTTGATGCACCGGAGTCCTGTCCATCAGATCTTAAATCCTCAAGGAATCCTTGCCCTAAGATAGTATTTCTCAGCCTTTTTGTGTTAGTATCCCTCTGCCACAAAGACTTTTAAGGTTTATTTTCCTAATCTTCCCTCATCCACTGTGAAATTGTAATATATCACAGATATACCTTATATCTATTTATGTACTGTGGTTCTTTGGCCCGCTACAAACAAATGCAATATCTAAGATTATGTCACCCTTGAAACCAGTTTTCACTGCTTCCATGGGGAATGCATACTGAGGGTCATACATCCAGAGAGCTGACAGTGTTGGCCTCAGATGATCTCATGGCCAAGCTGATGTACAGAAAAAGTAGCCAGGAGGCTACAGAAACCATGGTAATCCTCCACAGATTGCCTAAACAAAAGAGAGCAGCAAATTTTCCCTTAAGTGTGTTCAAGAGAAAAATGGACTTGTTTGAAAAAGGGCAATAAATTTATGATATTTTCTATGTATTTGAGTGGTTTTATCATAGAAATAGAACTCTTGGAGCTGAAGTGGACTTCAAAATTGCATCAAGTCCAGCCAACTGTTCTCAGGCAAAAAGATATTTTTGGTCTGACTTTTTAAACTGATGAAGCATTTAAGTAGAGAATATTAAGCTATTTGTTTATGTGGCACAGATTTAAATTCTAACACCAAGAAAAAAAATATTATCAGAAGACGCCTTTGCTTTATCTTTGCCATAAGAAAAACATTACCAGGACAGATAGAAAAATTTCTGTATTTTGATCTCCCTTCCTATGGACAGGGAATGTTTCTTTAGTGTTGTATCTAGTGTTCCACAGATAATAAAATATTTTGTATATACTGTGTTGTAAAGCCTCCTGTTTCAGGGATGTGAGAGTCTAGATTTTAAATGTTTGCTGTGAGTCTGGGCAACTCATCACAATCCTGGCTCTCCAGGCTGCACTGGCTCAGTTTTCTACCCTGGTCTTCCACCTCTTTTCCTAACTTTCCCAACACCCCTAAATCAGGACCCAGAGCAGCTTTCCATAGTAGATTCTCAGTGATTATTTGCCTACTATGCTGGGCACACACCTTATTTTGTTAAAAGAGATAATAGTGACAAGTGGGTTGAAGATAACCAAAGTTACAAGATGTTAAGACCAGATTCACATTTAAAGATTTTTACCTTATAATGTTAACATTTTGAAACAATTTTGTATCTTTTTAGAGATTTGGCAGAAGTCCAAGACCTTATGGCATGTGAACAATAAATATTTAATCAGTAGTTTATCACCCAAAGGTTTCTAAAGCCAGTTTAAATTAGAGTGTTCATGGCTGATAATAGTCTAATATTTGACGTTTTCATGTGTGTTTTATGAAGTGCTTTTCAACTCCTTAATTAAAGATAGTAAGTTATAAGGAAATTCCTTCTAATTGTCCTTCTTTCCGCCA